TGGTTTCTTCAGAAGATTTCAAGGATTCGTAAAAAACACAGATTGCAAACAAAATTTTCCTTTTGAGGGGGGCGGAGCTAAATGGGGGCATAAACACCGTCTGTGACTGATTCCTATATTGGTGAGTACAATCTTAACCGCGACTCAGGACTTTACCTTTCACCAATCTGGGAAACAGTCATCTCAGACGACGTTTAAGACCCTAATTTAGCTTCACTCCCCTCAAACAATATATAAGCAAGACGATTGGCGAAACGTTGGCAAGATCGACTTAACATCAACCGATGCAGAAGGAATCCAGAAATTTTGTAAATAGTACTTTTTACTCCTTTCTACCCTATTAAATATGTCTGAAAGTTTTCCGCTTCGGATTACTAACTAACCAAAACTAACAAGATTGCTTTCGGAAAATGGTTACTGGGCGGGGCAAGTTCCTAGCGCGTAGCGCGAAGCAGCTTTTTATTATAAAAGTAAAGAGCCTCGATCGATGTAATTTAATTGTGCATGTACCCTGTATGTGATTCACATCTCGTCGAACTTCAAAGTTGCAGCAAACATCGGTAAATATTAAAATTTGCACAAATAATAGCGTTGTTGGATGATATTTTTTCAAATATCTCGCGCCCTGTATATTTGACGAAACAATCTCTCTCACGACGCGGTTTACGATACTGTTCAAATAAAATTATCCCATCTTTAACGGTTTTCCATTTATAGCCAATAATTTACCCACAAAAACGGAAATTTTTAGCATATTTTAGATTTTTTGCCCATAAACGACACACACTCTGTGTATGATACAATCATTGTTCGAAGTAGAAGTTATAGCCCTGGATTTTCCACGCGTCCTGGTTCAAGAATTTTTTGAAAATAATAAAAGGTTTTCGAGAAAATAAGTTTTTTTCTGAAACCATGCAGTGCGCCGTAATAATCAATGACGTCATCGGGTCTTGACAGCCCGAAATAACGATTTAAATATGGATTTTTTCAAATATCCCGGGCAGCGTATGTGATAGACGAAAACCTCAAATACAAAAATTGTAGCTCTTGATGCGGCCTATGACACCGTTTGAACCATTTTTTTACCATTTTTGATTTGCGGCTAATAATTTACTCTGTAAAAGAACAATTGTCTAGGTCTTTTAGATTTTTGCCTATAATTTGAAAACCCTGTTTAAATGTGGACACGAACTTTTACTTCTCTGCTAAATTTGAAGTTGATATCTGCAAATTTAGGACACTTAGCACATGCCTCATTTAGCACGGAATATCGGGAACACCCTGTAAAATAGGTGAAAACCTATCTATGCAGGCTATATCGCAATATAAAATAAAGTGAGATCTGAATCATAGTCTTTCAATTATAACCAATTTTCAATAATAGGTTGACCCATTTTTTTATTTTTTTTGAATTTGCGGCGCACCCTGTATATTTTTGAAAAATTGTCACGAATAAAATTTTATTGAGCCGTATCTTCTGCTTCAAGAATTTTTTTGGTCTCGTAAATAGTTTTTGAAAAATGATGTTTTTTGTATATGCTTATACGCGCGATTTTTTTAGAATACTTCCCGACCCCCTAGCCCCCCCCCCCATTTTTAGCAGGTTTCGTCACAGGGCAAAGCTGCATAGATGTGTCAAATATGAAGTCGATTGCTTCAAATTTCAGACACTTATCGTGTGCAAGGTCCAAAAAACAGTCGAAAATCGCGAAAAAAAGATAGATACCTACGTCGGATGAGGGCCATTTCTTATAAGCTTATGTGCCTCGTGGAGGGTTAAAAAGGAGGCAAATTTTAATTTTGTAGTTCCAACTGTTCGAAAGTTATTCAGGAAAAACCAAAATACGAGAACGGAGAACGGACAAACAGAAAAAAAAATTTTTTTTCGACGGTGACCGTTACCGAAATATAAAATTTTTATACGAGCGCAGATACTTTCGAAAAATTCGATTTCATCGATTTTCGAAAGTAACAAGGTTTTAGCTAGAGTTATTTGGGATGCAAGGGGAATTACTTTTATTCATGCACACTTATTCGATCGATTGAGCACAGAAATAAAGAATAAACGACATTTGGAGAAAAAAAATCTTGTTTCACCATGACAATGCACCAGCACATTCGTCAATTAGATCAGCGGAAATGTACAAACTGTAGTTGGAATTGCTTCCACATCCAACTTATCCGCTCCACTTAGCACTCACGGTCTGGTCCCTAAGCTCAAATATTGGGTTGTTCGACAAAATTTGAGAGCAACGCGGAAGTCATTACTACTGTGAAAGGATATTTTCGGTTTCGGTTACTAAAAACTACTAAACTAAATTAGAGTACCGATATGAAAAATGTATCAGTCTCCCGGGGACTTTGATGAACAATAAAGCAAAATAAAATAACAAAAGTTGTTTTCAAGGACGACAGCGACAGTTTGTTTTAACGTTGAAGATCTTTTTCTACATAACTCCGCCTATGACTAGCTCCACGTCGACTTTACGGTCTGTTGAATTTTGCTACTAGTTGCTCTTCGGTAATGATTTATCTGGTAACAAGATTCCATTTTGAATCAAGATTATTGATATGTGACAATTTCGCTCGTAATTGCGCATTTATCTCATTGTGGAAGTACACGATCAGATAAAGTTTTCTATAGAAAGTTAGAAGCCAAATTGGCAATTCAAAGAGCCAAAAAAGTATCCGTTTGAGATTAAACATGAAAACTTTCCTTTGATGAATATCAACAAGCAAGAGGTAATGCGCCTCGGTTATTTGCAGTTTAGTCAATAAACACGTCTTTGAAACGGGGTGTAACATCCACATGAAATAAATATTTGCACTTTCTTATGGTTTATAATGTTTAGCGTGTCGTATGCTCCAAGCAATCCCAATACCGATGTTTATAACAGAATTGAAAACTGAAAATATTTGAAAACAAAATTTTTAAAATTTACATGTTAGTTTCGTACCGAAGTTTCAATAATATAATGTTAATTAATGTGATGTTAATGTTAATAATAATATGTTGATGAAGTTTTAGTTTTAGTTAGTTTACTTAAATTAAAATTTTATATTACACTGTATATTTTGACTGATAAAATCCAGTTGAAAACGCAAACGGAAAATGTTTTTTGCCAAAAATTGTTCGCATTATTATGGCAACAAGAATAAAGAGCACATCTACGTATCTTTTGTTTAGTTTTCATCAGAGAAACAGGTTACCCTAAGAACAAAATAAAAGTAACCTATCAATAAAACTAAATAAGGGAATTTGAGAGAAGGAAGTAGAAAAATTATTTTATTTATTTTTCTTTTATTCCAAATATGAAATTGACAACATTTTTTATGATGTATGGAATTATTTTTACGGTTTAATTATGTACCTAATGTGTTTAATATAATTAAGAAATATGGTGAAACTGCCAGTATTGATGTTTGACGTAAAAGCTCAGGCTACTTGTTTCTCAAAGTAGTGTAAGGCATTTAATTAGAATATAACAGAAGATAACTGGGACAAAGTTATCTATAGTAACGAAAGCAGATTTGATGTCTTTGTGGGAGATTGTAAAGTTTGTATGTCGGTCAAAGGGTTAGAACGTTTACAATTTATTAAAGGCTCAGTAAACGCAGCCAAATATCAACATATCTTTGAACATTCATTTTTACCAAGTGCAGCAAAGTTATATCCGTCCGGAGATCACTGCATGAACAGGATATTAAAGTTTTATCGTATCCCACGAGTGAAACAATGGCAAAAAAAATGATCCGCAGCATACTTTCCAACAATTACGTGCCTAAATATGGGCTAGTTTGACCCCTGAATTCTGTGAAGGCCTAGTTGGTAGAATACAATACGCTGTTATTCGAACTAAAAACGACGTTACGCCTTATTTATTTTTATTTTAATTTGTGAACAACCACTCGTTCCAATATTTCGTTGACAGATTGTTGTAAGATTACCAAACAATAAATTAAAATGTAATCCACAAAAAATATACAATTAAATCGTAAAAATAATTCTATAGATCATAAAAATGTTGTTCATATTAGAAATTAAAAAAAAATAAATAAAACAATTTTGATAGCATTTTATTCGCAAATTTACTGTTTGCTCTGACATATAGTTCGGGCTAGTTAAGTAAATTCATGTTGTCTAATCAATTTGTTATATACAATAGGTTCTTGTTTACTTTTAATATATTATACATATTAATATCCGCTCGTCTCTTAAAACTAACATGCGTTTAAATTCTTCATCTATCTCTCAATTTAGGTTTGAGCGGTTTATCGTTCTATACATGTCTAACCTCAAAAGCCGATGCAGATTACCTTCTGTGGGGTCCAAGATTTTTTGTCTTGAAAAAAAGTCGATTAAGATAATTGTACAGTCGTGCACCACACGCTGCATGGAGAGCCATAAATTCAGAATGATTTATTCTCGTATGTGTTTCATCCGCTGCGTGTAATGCAGGCAGTAAAAATTGACTCATTCAAAAATACTTATGCTTATCACATTGTAATTACTTAATGGGAGTATTTACTCGGTGCTTTTCATCTCGTTCCACCTCTAAATTTCATTACTTATTTCATTCGATTTATTTCTCGCAAAAGCACGGTTATCTGTAATTACTAAGTTTTCACTGCAATTATTATTAAATGTAAAATAATCATTCAAATACTTCTTTGTCAGTGCTTTAACTCCTCACATTTTTAAAATCTCTTCAAATGTTTGCTAATGCGTTCAATAAAAAATGTTCGAAGAGACAAGTTTTAATATGCATACGTAGTGTTAATATAATAAGGTTTTTAAAGTTTAAGTAATATCAAAATTCAGCTATAGTTTTATAAATATTGACTGTGTCAGCTCTACTGAAAATATTTAGGCTGTCGTCACCAAAAATCAGTGATAAAATACACTTTTATTTGGGCTTGAAACCTGACGTTGTGGTTTCACTTGCTTTTCACAAATTCGTTGATCGAAATTATATCTAACTAAAATTAACAATACTTACATGTTTACTTAATACGGTGTGGAAGAATGTAATAAATACTAAAACTAATATTGCCGACGACCTAGAACAAAAAAAAAATCAATATTAGACATTTTTATCTTTCAGAAATTGTATATGGAGAAGAGAGAAGTGCAACATTATTTTTTTATTATTGCACTTTTCCATGTTAATTTATATTGCTAATATTACTGCTAACTTCTCATTCAATTGTTTTTGTTATTCAGAAAAATAGGCGGTAAAATAAGGGAGTTTCTTAAAAAGCGACCCAAACCTCCTTTACTCCATTTCTTCGCTTAGGGGCGGTGTTTTTATCAACCAATATATTTGTATTTCATGATCAATCTGTTCGTGGAAATTTCAACTTCAAACTTTCAAGTAAGTCTGCGATATTTCAACCTTCAAAAAGAACTTGCATCAAAATTAAGGCGGACACTATTTGCATTGGATTATAATTTATATTTTAATTGTACCTAAATTTTCAGAAATGGTCTTACAAAAATATTTTCATATAGATATGTTTTAGGCATCTCAGGAGGATATATGTAAGGAGGGTATATGTAAAAACCAGTTTCAAACTTAATGTTTTTCACATTGTGTGGGAATTCCTTTTAACACTATGACTTCAGGTATTAAGTGCCTCTTGAAGGTAAAGCTTGAAAAGTGTGGGGGAGAGACTCTTTTAAGCCTTTAAGAGATTCTTTTAAGCCTTTAGTAGTCCGAAATGAATTTAACATAACATTAAACTAATACAAAGTCAATATGCAGCGGTTCTTCCAATACTCTATAGACGTTTAATTTGTGCATGATTGACATCTCATTGAAGATGGAGGGATGATCTCTAAGCTACCTCCCATTCCATCGAATAAATGTGTCTGCACTGCATAAAGGCCAGGCCAAGGTCTCGATATTCACCTTATTTAAATAATTGTTTGTTACTTCACAATTTGGTGTGGCCATTATAAAACTCCTCTTGTAATCTAGCAAACGCATTCGTCTTTCCATATTTCATTTAATTACTAGAAACTGACGTGAATAAAAAAAAGATACTGATAAAAAATGGATTGGGAATTCCCGCAGAATGTGACAAACATTAAGTATAGAACTGGTTTTTCTTTAACCACTCTGTATATGCCTAAAACTCAAATTTCAATAAAAATTGTCTTTTAGAACGTAATTTCTGAAGATTGCAACAATAATATTAATGTATATATAAATTAATATCCAAATCGAGTCAGCAGTTTGCGAGAAAATTAACTTGACCAAATTTTTGGTGTGTTAATTTTGATGCAGTTTATAGTCGCCTACCTCCTTTATGACTCTCTGTGTCTATGCACAACTGACGTTTTTAAATCTCTATTCAAAATCGATAAAGCTCGACGACCGGTTAAACCCCAAAATTGTGTCTTTAACCTTGCGCGGGGTCGACATACGGGCCGGAATATGAGCACCGGCAGCAGGAGAGCCGAAACCAAAAGAGGTTCCAAATATTAAACTTTTTGTCTTCGCAACTCTCTCTGATATATAAATAATTGTAAAACTACATTGTAACGGAACAACAATATAACTGAATTCGTTACAAACCCGTATTAGGAGTGCAGAACCGACGAAGGATGGTTTGCTTCGACGTTACTATATTAATTGCGGTATTTCCGCGATGTTGTTACTAAAACCGATTTTGTAATGTATGTTTACGGCGGAAACATAATATTCTGCTTTCCTGATAATGCGCTGACGCAATTTTGTTTAATAGCGACCCCATAGATCTTTCGGACTTCTGGAAGAAAGAACGCTTTTTCCTAATAAATTCAATGACAAAAATTGGTTCTTGGGAAGATGATAAGTAAAACAATTTGCCGTATTATTGAATTCTTAAATTGCCATGCCTTTTAATTGTCATCATAATACAGGTATATACAATATTTTGACGAAGGTATGTATCATGACACGTCATTGTTCGTCCAGGGACGCAGACGGTATTTCTTTTTATTATTTATAAAAATTACACCTCGTCGCGGCAAAATGTCGCCGTTAGTATCGGACAGGAGTGTAGAGAGCGAAAGAGTAACATTTATTTGAGAACCACATTAAAAGGAAGCCTTATAAAGAAGTATTCTGAATTACTGTAGCGTCGGAAATTGGACTAAGTTCAGATTAGGTTTGTTTTTGTGTTTAGGAATAAGGAACTTTTTGTTATTATTATTATTATTATTATTATTATTATTATTATTATTATTATTATTATTATTATTATATTGATTTAATTTCATTTTTTTAATTCATAACCTTAAGATTTTAACAGACTGTTCAGTTGAAGCGTGATGAATTTTTTTTAATTTTATCTAATACACTAAATCAATATCGGCTCTAAAACTTTGGGAATCAGTGACCATATAATCAACGTTGTTTGCCACTCAAAGCAGTAAGATAAAAGAGTGCGTCCCAAAACTATAATGCAGCAAACTCTACCGTTTTGGTTTTTACACATCTACGGTTTTTTTTTCAGATTATTATGATTATTTGCAAACAACTTTCTAGAGATTTTATGGTTATGTGTTTTACTACTTGCATTAGAATTTATTCAAAAAGTTTTACCGCTTGAATTAGAATTTGTCGAAAAGGTTAATTTTTGCTAATATATTTCTTTTTGCAAAATAAATTTTGAAATTGGATTATCTACCCTGACCAAGTTTATCAGTAATATTTTCGTTTGTTTGAAAAGCTCTTGGTGTTTTATAAAAATTAATAAGACACTATTGCAGATTAAGTTGATTTGCTAACTAATCATTTGGTGTGTCAAGATATCCAAAAAATAAAAACATGTTACCTAAGTATTTATAACGTGGGTCTTGGTTCAATTTAGGGAAAAGCCAGCAGGCGACGCGATGTCGCAGTTGTGGCAACTTCAATCCGTTCGCTCCGTTTAGATACAAAATTAAGTATTTAGGGACGCCATATGATGTGTCGCCTATGTCGACTTCAGTGCTACATCAAAGTGCCTGTTGGGTTACCCTTAATAACAGGTTTTGTAACCAAACTTGCGTTTTTTAAAGTATCATGGCAGTCGCCGGTAGTACTTTTTTTTATATCGACAAATACAAATGTCGAGTATTATTTAAGTATTTATTTAATTTAATTTAATTTTTTTAAATATTAATATGAACTTAGCCATAACTAGCAAGTTAAGTTGCGTTAGATTGAACAAATGCTCGCACAAATTACCCAAATTCATTGTGCATTTGATATATTTTTAATGTATTATTTAAATGCTGAAATAAATGTTACTTTTGTTAGATTTAAATAAATCGAGATTGTTTTAAAGACGACTTTTCCGATCTTGGCGTCAATGTCGAGCGGTGCATGCCAGAGCAGGGCATCAAAACTGATGCCCGTCGCCACCCTCTGCGGCGTCCCGGCTCACGCGCGCGAATAGACCCGAAGATTTCCCGACGCATCCGAAATCGATAGATCGCGCCAATATTTAAATATTCGAACGTAATCTAACACGGCCAAACTGACAACATTCCGCTCTCGGAATGCATGACTCATTTGAAGTGTCACAGACATGAACACACAGAAAAAAAACAAAGTTTTATTTCTTTACAGCAACGTTAAAATATATAGATGTGTACATCGGTAAAAATTCGTAAACCTTTCATTCTGCAGATTTATCATCAGCCGTCCCAGAGTTCCCTGTAATGAACAAAAAACGAGAATTCATCAATCAAATGAATTTCACAAACAATTGGGACTAGATTTACGTAATAACTCACAAGCTGACAGACACGATGGAAATTCTGTAGTAAGCACGCATTTACAAATACAGAGTTGACTTGAGTAGCACGATGGAAATACTGCAATAAGCACGTATTTGCGATGGGCTCTCAAACAACAAAATCAAAACACAGAGTTGACTTGAGCAGCGCGATGGAAATACTGCAATAAGCACGTATTTGCGATGGGCTCTCAAACAACAAAATCAAAACACAGAGTTGACTTGAGCAGCGCGATGGAAATACTGCAATAAGCACGTATTTGCGATGGGCTCTCAAACAACAAAATCAAAACACAGAGTTGACTTGAGCAGCGCGATGGAAATACTGCAATAAGCACGTATTTGCGATGGGCTCTCAAACAACAAAATCAAAACACAGAGTTGACTTGAGCAGCGCGATGGAAATACTGCAATAAGCACGTATTTGCGATGGGCTCTCAAACAACAAAATCAAAACACAAAATACTCCAAAGACTATTTAAATTAGTTTTATATACACAACTCAAATCAATCTAACACGGCACAACAAGTCAAATTATGTACTTACAATTGTCTAGTTGTAATAATCTTTGGAAATCGTCAGGCGTCCAATCAGTAGGCCAATGCCGCAACTGATCCTTAGAACATTTAAAAGTTTTCGGAGTACCTAATTTCTTAATCAAATACCGATTATTGGTAAGTGATCTCTTGATTATGTAAGGACCAACAAATTCACAAGAAAACTTTTCAGGTCTTTGACCTCGGCTTAACAAAACAGTATCACCTACTTTATACAGCTGATTGTCTCTTCGCTTCTTATTTAGATAATTCAACTGCCTTTCTGAATTTTGCCGTAGTTTCTTTATAACTGCGGAATAATCCACTGGAGATTTAGTTTCATCAGGGATTGGCAAATCGGTTAAGACTGTACGAATTTGAGGCGTTTGACCCTCTCGACCAAATACTAACTTAAAAGGTGAGCAACCAGTCGTCTTTTGTTTCGTAGTATTGATTACTAACTGGATCTTCCATACTTTGTTCGGCCAATCTGTTACTTTATTGGATTCAACTCTTAACAAATTGGTAATAGTTCGCATATAGCGTTCTATTTGTCCGTTGGAGCGATGAACACCGGGGGTTGTCACGTGTAATTCGATGCCAAAATATTCGGTAAATGATTTAAATATTTTTGCTATGAAATTAGTTCCAGCGTCGTGAATTAGTTTGGAGGGCGTGCCAAATATGCTGAGGAATTTAGCAAAATTTTGTGTTGTTTCTTCTGTAGTAACGGTGGATTGAGGATATAGGAG